ATGACTGTGTACCCGTGACTGTATGTCCATGACTGCACGCCCGTAACTGTAGGCAAGTGACTGTATGCCCGTGACTGTATGCCAATGACTGTGTGCCCGTTACTGTATGCCCATGACTGTATACCCGTGACTGTGTACCCATTACTGTATGCCCATGACTGTATACCTGTGACTGTATACCCATGACTGTATACCGATGACTGTATACCTTGACAGTGTATGCCCTTGACTGTATGCCCGTGACTGTATACCCATGACTGTATACCGACGGCTGTATGCCCTTGACTGTATTCCCGTGACTGTATGTCCATGAATTATACCCGTGACTGTATGTCCATGACTGTGTACCCGTGACTGTATGTCCATGACTGCACGACCGTGACTGTAGGCAAGTGACTGTATGCCCGTGACTGTATGCCAATGACTGTATGCCTGTGACTGTGTGCCCGTTACTGTATGCCCATGACTGTATACCCGTGAATGTGTACCCATTACTGTATGCCCCTGACTGTAAGCCCCTGACTGTATGCCCCTGACTGTATGCCCATGACTGTATGTCCATGACTGTATACCCGTGACTGTATACCCGTGACTGTATGTCCATTACTGTATGCCCATGACTGTATGTCCATGACTGTATACTCGTGACTGTATACCCGTGACTGTATGTCCATGACTGTATGCCCATGAGTGTATGCCCATGTCTGTATACCCATGACTGTATGCCCGTGACTGTATGTCCATGACTGTATGTCCATGACTGTATACCCGTGACTCTATGTCCATGACTGTATACCCGTGACTGTATGCCCATGACTGTATACCCGTGACTGTATGCCCATGACTGTATACCCGTGACTGTTTGTCCATGACTGTATACCCGTGACTGTATGTCCATGACTGTGTACCCGTGACTGTATGTCCATGACTGTATACCCGTGACTGTATGCCCATGACTGTATACCCGTGACTGTATGTCCATGACTGTATACCCGTGACTGTATGTCCATGACTGTGTACCCGTTACTGTATGTCCATGACTGTATGTCCATGACTGTATACCCGTGACTGTATGTCCATGACTGTATTCCCGTGACTGTATGTCCATGACTGTATACCCGTGACTATGTACCCATTACTGTAAGCCCATGACTGTATGCCCTTGGCTGTATGCCCATGACTGTATGCCCATGACTGTGTATCCGTGACCATAGGCTGGAGCTGTCGATACACTGCTCGACATAAAGGGAGATTTGGAAAGGGACAGTTGGAAACTGACTACACTAAAATTTATAGAAACTGATTAATCCTACGAATTTTATATTTAAAAATGACAGTGACAGTGCCTGCAAGCAAAGTGTGACAATGTGTCAGTATAAGTCCTTCAGGTCGGATTATGCCCATAATTTATCCGAAATGTTTCCCTGGGTGAAGTTTTTATCAAATACAGAAATACATACACTTGAAACAGGTGAATACATAGGGAACATGGCGGCATCTGGCGGGTGACAGCAGCTCAGATCTACTGCATAAATCAGGAACAACCTGCTGCCACATTGTATCAATAACAGTAAACGGAGTAGAGAAGAATCAACAGTAACATCCGGGTTTCCGAGAGATGCCGGTCCATGTAGGCGGTGTGTGTCACTTACACTGCTACTATTAGTTTCTCCTCCCGGCCAGGTTTGGCTTGAGAGATTGTACATGGGAGAGAACATCACCTCTGGGGTTCCGATCGACCATTTCTCATTTATAACACATCCACCATGTCACATTTATAACACATCCACCATGTCACATTAATAACACATCCACCATGTCACATTAATAACACATCGACCACGTCACATTTATAACACATCAACCATGTCACATTAATAACACATCAACCATGTCACATTATAACACATCCACCATGTCACATTAATAACACATCGACCACGTCACATTATGACACAACCACTATGTCACATTATAACACATCCACCATGTCACATTATAACACATCCACCATGTCACATTATAACACATCCACCATGTCACATTTAACATTCAATCACATTACATCAACCATGTCACATTATAACACATCCACCATGTCACATTATAACACATCCACCATGTCACATTATAACACAACCACCATGTCACATTATAACACAACCACCATGCCACATTATAACACAACCACTATGTCACATTATAACACATCCACCATGTCACATTATAAGACAACCACCATGCCACATTATAACACAACCACCATGCCACATTATAACACAACCACCATGCCACATTATAACACAACCACCATGCCACATTATGACACAACCACCATGTCACATTATAACACAACCACCATGTCACATTATAACACATCCACCATGTCGCATTTATAACTCATCGACCACGTCACATTTATAACACAACCACATGTCACATTATAACACATCCACCATGTCACATTATAACACATCCACCATGTCACATGTATAACACAACCACCATGTCACATTATAACACATCCACCATGTCACATTTATAACTCATCGACCATGTCACATTTATAACACATCCACCATGTCACATTTGTAAAATATCGACTACGTCGCATATGTAACACATCTACCATGTCAGATTATTAACACAACGACCATTTCACATATACATCACATCGACCAGGTCACATTTATAACACATCGAACAGGTCACATTTGTAACACATGGACCATGTCAGATTATAACATTATGCTGGTAGGGATGGGGGGTGAGAAGGTGGCAGGGGCTTGGAGGGAGGGTGGGGGTGTCACTGGTTTAACAATGACACCCATTACACTATTCGTGAGCATTGGTAGCTCCATGTCAATGCAGATTAGGTTATCATTTCCAAAGATAGGCCATGTTTGGACCGACATGGTGCCTTGTACACAGGTGGCACAAGACACCACTGTGTGACACATGTGGGCCTTGCATGGAATCTCATTGTCTCATACACGAACTTTGACCGGTGTTGGAACTACCTCATTCTCTTCCCACAGAGGTTACTCCTGTCATATCTTCCTACGTAACCCCTGTTCTAATACGGCCCTGTCATGGTGTGAGCGTTCAGACTCGTGATTGGAGGCAATCAGATTTAGTTGTGCAATCAGGGACGTTGTTTCAAAAGTGATCATTCGCAAGGCCTCGGTAATTTCCGTATACTTCGAGAAAACAAAACCTCTTCCCCTGCGCGATGCGCAAACGTTTCTTCTAGACAGAACTCAGTCATGTTATGGCGGATCAGTGGCGTCTCCATCGCCCTCGTTGACAACGGACAAGCTAGCCATTAAACGTCTTGTGTGTTAGTCAAGTTGAATCTAAGTCGATGTAACACGTGTTCTGATTGGATAGAAAGAAGGGAGATAATTCGTGTTGCGATCTTTTGCCGCTAGGGGATTTTACGAGAACCGGGAAATATGGCCGTATTAGAACAGAGGTTACGTAGGAAGATATGACAGGAGTAACCTCTGTGGGAAGAGAATGGAACTACCTTTGATTCAGTTATCCACAAACCCATGATTGTAAACATAAGCTTTACAGTTACGTCACGGCGTGTCTGGTTAATGAGGGAGGAAGGCCCGTAGTGATGCAGGTGTCAGGCGTTTACTACCCACGACCACGGCTATGGCGCCAACAAACTAGTGATCACTGCCATCCCGGGATTCGAACTCACTACATCATATCCTTGGACGTCTAGGGGATTCAAATACGGGCGCCTAACCTTGTCCCTTTTCAGAAATGTATAACAGAATCTATAAGACACCATTTAACGCAAACTTATCTACATTTCTAACATACACTGACGATCAAAACACAACATACCAAACCCAGTTTTGATTTAATTTCAGTTCAAGCCCGAAATAGTGTTCCCAGACATGGGGGGATTTAATTCTTTGCTTATATCACCGAATCTACTAACGACCTTATTCTTTAAGATTTGCAATATCCATGCGGCAAGGTTACAGGATGCATCTGGGGACAGAACCGCTCACAGTATACGTCAGGGTATCTTCAGTCCGGGCGGGGACAGTCACGTGGTACATACATCAGGAAGTATTCCGAGGGAGAGGCTATTTGGGAGGCTGCAGTTGGGAGCCAGACACGACATCGTCGCTGACCATTGGATGCACCCGTGCACCAGTCACCTGGTTGATATCACCAGCAGAAAGGTGATCGGACAACAGACACTTGTGTCCAGTGTATATCGTCCAGTTGACCTTTCTAACCCTCGGATCATGATTCAAGAACTGGGGACATGTATCATCCACCATGATCTTAGGTCAGGTAACATGACCAACTCTCTTGACCAGTAGCCTGCAAAAGAACCCTAGGACCACTTTGACCGATTAGATCACGACCTAACTCTAATGTGAAGGAACCTAGCTACATCCGGGTACTGAATGTTCTCATTTGCGGGTGTGTTTGGTGCCCATAGAGACATGCAATACTGTGAATATGTCAGTCCATCCTTGCAATGTCCCTGTACCTCAACCCTGATGTGTTCCCAGTGACAACAAACTGACGACATACCCCTTGTCGATGATTTCCCCGGAGCCCTGTATTGCCCAAGTATTATAACCATGTATCGATGCTGCCTAAATTCTTGCCAAGCCTGATTGGGTGGTAAAGTTTTTTCATTTGCTCTTCAGTGTATTTCGAGAGGCGATTCAAGATGCACATATCTGAATATCACTAAATACACAGGTTTATCATCATGGTTTCACATTACACAGTATGATTTGCCGTGGTAATGAATCGTGTACATGAGAATCTCAATATCAGTTCTCAGATTGCCTTATGTATCTGCACAGTAGGTGTGAATGTAAAATAAAACCATAATCATAAATCTATTTCCATAATCATAATAACTCTGAGTTTGCAGCGGCAATGACAGCATCATTGTGACGGATCCACCGTGGCTGGGCGGCACTTCATTATCTCAGTGAGTAATGTCACGTGTCCAGGACAGCCATTGGATGACCTGCTCTTAACTCAGTTCATGATCTGCAGCCTGGGTCGGCCGGTCTGATATCAAGTGACAGTTAAGGCTGGCTGCTAACTCGAACCCCCGAAACATGGTGGCGACAGGTCAGGCTTTCAAATAATTTAATGTGAGTATATTATTTTTAACGCTGAAACATATATAATGAACTCGAAGCTAAGCATTGTATTGATTGTCGATATTATCAACTTTGGAAGATATGGACTGTTATTTTGTCTAAAATGGCGCTATCATCGAGACCTACGGAATATCTCTGAAGTTGAGCGTTGTATTGTTGAGTACTAGGTATTTACACTAGTTGAAGGGAATATTGCTGAATGAGAGATATATACTATATAGATTATTATGTTGCACACGGCCCTACTCACAGATGAACGAATCACTAATATCCCTGAATAATCTCACCACAAAACTAAACAACCATCAACATCCAATTGTAACTGCCGGGCCTTGACTTAACACCTGTACACTCGCTGTCAGGGAATAACGTAGCACCAGTACAACCACTGCCAGACAATGGCGTAGTACCTGTAAATTCAATACATCACTGCAGGTACATGGCTACAGGTGCATGACTACAGGTGCAGGACTACAGGTACATGACTACAGGTACACACCTACAGGTACATGACTACAGGTACATGACTATATGTGCATGACTACAGGTGCATGACTACAGGTACATGACAACAGGTACAGGACTACAGGTACAGGACTACAGGTACAGGACTACAGGAACATGACTACAGGTACATGACTGCAGGTACAGGACTACAGGTACAGGACTACAGGTACAGGACTACAGGAACATGACTATATGTGCATGACTACAGGTGCATGACTACAGGTACATGACAACAGGTACAGGACTACAAGTACAGGACTACAGGTACATGACTACAGGTACAGGACTACAGGTACATGACAACAGGTACAGGACTACAGGTGCATGACTACAGGTACATGACAACAGGTACAGGACTACAGGTACAGAGGTACAGGACTACAGGTACAGGACTACAGGTACAGGACTACAGGTACAGGACTACAGGTACAGGACTACAGGAACATGACTACAGGTACATGACTGCAGGTACATGACAACAGGTACATGACTACAGGTACAGGACTACAGGTACAGGACTACAGGAACATGACTATATGTGCATGACTACAGGTGCATGACTACAGGTACAGGACTACAGGTACAGGACTACAGGAACATGACTTTATGTGCATGACTACAGGTGCATGACTACAGGTGCATGACTACAGGTACATGACTACAGGTACATGACTACAGGTACAGGACTACAGGTACAGGACTACAGGTACATGACTGCAGGTACATGACTACAGGTACAGGACTACAGGTACAGGACTACATGACAACAGGTACAGGACTACAGGTACAGGACTACAGGTACAGGACTACAGGAACATGACTACAGGTCCACACCTACAGGTACATGACTACAGGTACATGACTGCAGGTACACACCTACAGGTACACGACTACAGGTACATGACTACATGTACATGACTACAGGTACAGGACTACAGGTACAGGACTACAGGTACAGGACTACAGGTACAGGACTACAGGAACATGACTACAGGTCCACACCTACAGGTACATGACTACAGGTACATGACTACAGGTACACACCTACAGGTACATGACTACAGGTACAGGACTACAGGTACAGGACTACAGGTACATGACTACAGGTACAGGACTACAGGTACAGGACTACAGGTACAGGACTACAGGTACATGACTGCAGGTACATGACTACATGTACAGAACTACAGGTACAGGACTACAGGTACAGGACTACAGGTACAGGACTGCAGGTACAGGACTACAGGTACATGACTACAGGTACAGGACTACAGGTACAGGACTACAGGTACATGACTGCAGGTACATGACAACAGGTACAGGACTACAGGTACAGGACTACAGGTACAGGACTACAGGTACAGGACTACAGGTACAGGACTACAGGTACAGGACTACAAGACTACAGTACAGGACTACAAGATTACAGGTACAGGACTGCAGGTACATGACTACAGGTACATGACTACAGCTACATGACTACAGGTACAGGACTACAGGTACATGACTACAAGACTACAGTACAGGACTACAAGATTACAGGTACATGACTGCAGGTACATGACTACAGGTACAGGTACATGACTACAGGTACATGACTACAGGTACATGACTACAGGTACATGACTACAGGTACAGGACTACAAGACTACAGTACAGGACTACAAGATTACAGGTACAGGACTGCAGGTACATGACAACAGGTACATGACTACAGGTACATGACTACAGGTACAGGACTACAGGTACATGGCTACAGGTACATGACTACAGGTACAGGACTGCAGGTACAGGACTACAAGACTACAGTACAGGACTACAAGATTACAGGTACAGGACTGCAGGTACATGACTACAGGTACAGGACTACAGGTACAGGACTACAAGGACTACTACAGGTACAGGACTACAAGACTACAGTACAGGACTACAAGATTACAGGTACAGGACTGCAGGTACATGACTACAGCTACATGACTACAGGTACAGGACTACAGGTACAGGACTACAGGTACAGGACTACAGGTACATGGCTACAGGTACATGACTACAGGTACATGACTACAGGTACAGGACTACAGGTACAGGACTACAGGTACAGGACTACAGACACAAGACTACAGGTACAGGACTGCAGGTACATGACTACAGGTACAGGGCTACAGGTACATGACTGCAGGTACAGGACTACAGGTGCATGACTACAGGTACAGGACTACATGTACAGGACTACAGGTACATGACTACAGGTACATGACTGCAGGTACAGGACTACAGGTACAGGGCTACATGTACAGGACAACAGGTACATGACTACAGGTACAGGGCTACAGGTACAGGACTACAGGTACATGACTACAGGTACAGGACTACAGGTACATGACAACAGGTACATGACTACAGGTACAGGACTACATGTACAGGACTACAGGTACATGACTACAGGTACAGGGCTACAGGTACAGGACTACAGGTACAGGGCTACAGGTACAGGACTACAGGTACAGGACTACAGGTACAGGACTACAGGTACACGACTACAGGTACAGGGCTACAGGTACAGGACTACAAGACTACGGGTACAGGACTACAGGTACAGGACTACAGGTACAGGACTACAGGTACAGGACTACAGGTACAGGACTACAGGTACAGGACTACAGGTACAGGACTACAGGTACAGGACTACAGGTACAGGACTACAGGTACATGACTACAGGTACAGGACTCCATTCCATTCCATTCCCTTCCATTCCATTCCATTATTATTCCATTCCATTCCATTCCATTCCATTCCATTTCCTTCCATTATTCCATTCCATTCCATTCCATTTCCATTCCATTCCATTCTACTTCCTTCCATTCCATTCCATTTCCAATTTTCCATCCATTCCATTCCACTTTCATTTCCATTCGACTTCCATTCCATCCATTCCATTCCATTCCATTCCATTCCATTCCATTCCATTCCATTCCATTCTTCCTTCATTCATTACATTCCATTCATTCCAGTTACATGTCTATTAGGTACCTACAGGTTCCATTTTATGTGTTCATTTCAGAGACAGGTTACATTAAATTACAACATTCCATGACTACACATTCCATTCTAGATGTCCAGGGATTCCAGGTTCTATGACTACAGGTCAGGGCTACAGGTACAGGGATTTCAGGTGTTCTGGGCTTCTGCTTCTGGACTTCAGGTACAGGGCTATAATTACACGTTACAGGTACAGGCTTCAGGTTCTGGGACTACAAGACTTCAGGTTATTTGTGTTATTTCTTACATTCTGTTACTTCTGGTTCTGGACTACAGGTCCAGGGCTTCGTATTTGTTCCTGGACTTCCAGGTTCCTTTCTCCTGTTCCAGGGCTGTGTTGGACTACCTGTACAGGTCTTCCTTGGGTATTCTGGTCTCTGTCTTCCTTATCTTCGCTGTGAACCTGTTTTCTATCCATGTGGGTGTCTGTCTTTCTTATCACGTAAACCGTTGCTATTTTCAGTGTCTGTCTTCCTTATGTGGCTGGAACTCCTGTCTTCCTGTCCATCTTCCTTATCAGCTGTGAACTCCGTGACACCGACGGTGTCTGTCTTCCTCCTTTGTGGTGTCCATTACACAGACACAGTGTCTGGTTCTTCCTTATCAGCTGTGAGCCTGTTATACAGACGGTGTCTGTCTTCCTTATCAGCTGGTGTCTGTCTTCCTCCCTTATCAGCTGTGAGCCCGTTACCTGACGGTAAGTCTGTCTTCCTGTCTGAGCCCGTAACCAGACATAAGTTCCATCTTCCTTTATCAGCTGTGGGGTCTGTGGGTTGCCTATCGGTAAAGCGTTGGCTCGTCGAAGACATTGGGTTCAGCTGTGTGTAGCTTCCATTTCTGGTGTCCCCGCCGTGTGTGTTGCTGGGTAAACCAAACTCAGTGTAAGTATCAGCTGTGAGGCCAGTATCTTCGTCTTCCTTATGCTGTCTGTCAGTGTCCACCTCTTATCATCTGTGGTGGTCTGTGTCTTATCCTTGTCGCTGTGAACCTTCCTGTCTGTCTTCCTTTATGGTGAACCTGTGTACCTGGGGTGGTGTCTGTCTTCCATCTGTCCTGTTACACAGACAGTGTCTGTCTTCCTATGTCTGTGAACTCCATGTCAGGCTAGTCCATGTCTTCCTTCCTGTGAACCTGTTAAACAGATAGTGTCTGTCTTCCTTAGCAGCAGTGGACCTGCCATACAGGTGTCTGTCTTCCTTATCCACCTGTTACACAGCTGTCTGTCTTGAACTTGTCAGCTGTGGTCTGACGGTGTCTTGTCTTGTCAGCTGTGGAATAATTTGTCAGATCTGATACCCAGTTTCATCACGGTGCGGTCCATGTCACTGTCAAAATGTCCGGGGTTTCCTGAAACTTCATGTGTCCATGTGTTATGCCATGTGCTTCCATCCACGTCTGCTTCCACCTTACCTCCACTCTCGTCTGTCACGTCCTCTGTCGTCCTGCTCTGGCCTCACCGGTCCACCTTCCACTCTCACGTCAACATTCTCACTAGTCACACTTCCGTCTACACGTCTTGGTCACCAATCTCCGGTCACCACCTCTGTCCATGGGTCCTTCCACGTCCTCACTCTCACCAACTCCTTCCTTCTGTGATCACCTTCCACGCCTTCTCCACCGGTCTGTCCTTTCTCGTCACACCTCCGTTCCATGGTCGTCCACCTTCCACGTTCGTCATGATCACCACCTTCCGCTCTCACGTCACCAGCTTCGTTTCCCTTCTCATGATCACCACCTCACTCTCACGTCACCACCTTCCACTTCATGATCCACCTTCACCTCACTCACTCCGGGTCACCACCTTCCACTCTCATGATCACCGCCTTCCATCACCACGTCCATTCTCATCATCACCACCTTTCCACGCTCCACGTCACTCACCATCCCTCATGATCCACCTTCCACGTCACCACCTTCCACCTCCACGTCACCACCTTCCACTCTCTCATGATCATCACCTTCCACTCTCACGGATCACACCACCTCTCCACCTCACGTCACCACCTTCCACTCCTCACGTCACCACCTTCCACTCTCCACGTCACCACCTTCCGCACTCTCACGATCACCACCTTCCACTCTCACGATCACCACCTTCCACCTCTCACATCACCACCTTCCATTCTCATGATCACCACCTTCCACATCCTCACGTCACCACCTTCCATTCTCATGATCACCACCTCCTCACTCTCACATCCTTTCCACCTTTCCACCTCCACGATCACGTCACCACCTTCCTCATGTCACCACCTTCCACGCTCACATCACTCACCTTCCACTCCACGTCACGTCACCACCTTCCACTTCTCACGATCACCACCTTCCACGCTCACGTCACCACCTTCCACATCTCATGATCACCACCTTCCACTTCACGTCACCACCTTCCACGCCTTCATGATCACCACTTCCACTCTCGCCACGTCACCACCTTCCACTCTCATGATCACCACCTTCCACCTCACGTCACCACCTTCCACCTCTTTCACGTCACCACCTTCCACTCTCATGATCACCACCTTCCACTGTCACGTCACCACCTTCCACCTCCATGATCACCACCCTCCACCTCACGTCACCACCTTCTCCTCCACGTCTCACCACCTTCCACTCACACGTCACCACCTTCCATCCTCACGATCACCATCTCACTCTCACGTCACCACCTTCCATGTCACCACTCATCCTCTCCTTCACTCCTTCCTCCTTCCACGATCACCACCTTCCACTCTCATGATCACCACCTTCCACCTCACATCACCACCTTCACCCTCACATCACCACCTTCCCCTCGTCACCGGCCTTCCCTCCATGATCACCACATCCTTCCATCTCCTCATGACCACCTCCTTCCCTCTCCATGATCCACCACCTTCCATCTAATGCATCACCACCTTTCACCTTCCCATCCACCTTCCACTCTCACGTCACCACCTTCCACGTGTCACTTCCACTTCACTTCACATCCTTCCACTCTCAAGATCACCTCCTTCCGCTCTCATGATCACCACCTTCCACTCCACGTCACCACCTTCCACTGTCACATCACCACCTTCCAATCCACGTCACCACCTTCCACTCTCATGATCACCACCTTCCACGCCCACCTCCACCTCACCACCTTCCGTCACCGCTTCACGCTCAAGACACCGCCTTCCACTCTTATGATCACCACCTTCCACGCTCACGACACCGCCTTCCACTCTCATGATTACCACCTTCCACGCTCACGTCACCACTTTCCGCTGTAACGTCACCACCTTCCACGCTGACGTCACCACCTTCCACTCTCACATCACAACCTTCCACGCTCACGTCACCATCTCTCACTCTCAAGTCACTACCTTCAACTCTCATGATCACCACCTTCCACTCTTACGTCACAACCTTCCACTCTCATGATCAACACCTTCCACGCTCACGTCACCACCTTCCACTCTCACGTCACCACCTTCCATGCTCACTTCACCACCTTCCACTCTCACGTCACCACCTTCCGCTCTCACGTCACCACCTTCCACGCTCACATCACCATCTTCCACGCTCACTTCACCACCTTCCACTCTCACGTCACCACCTTCCATTGTCACGTCACCATCTTCCATGCTCAAGTCACTACCTTCCACTCTCACGTCACCACCTTCCACGTTCACGTCACCACCTTCCACTCTCACGTCACCACTTTCCACTCTCATGTCACCACCTGTCACTCTCACGTCACCACCTTCCACGCTCACACCACCACCTTCCGGTCACCTTTTAGTGTCACGACGACACTTTGAAGATTTCAGCATGTTAACCTGAATTGTCAGCAAGATATTTTAAGAACGGTTCACTGGATTTTCTTCATAGACTTTTTAGACTTCTCTTGAATGTTTTTCAATAAGCAATTTCTTTAGTACTAGTTTTGCATATTTCATACACTATGACATTCATGTCAAGGTCAAAGTCAGTCTTGAAAATATGTGTGTGTTTGAACAACTAAAGAGCAAGATATCAAGAGAGGTTGACTGGTCATGTTTTTGTTGACATTTAACTTCATCTTAAACAATCAATATAAGTTTGATTTGATAATTTGCGGCGGGGGATTATGTCACCTTAGTGACAATGCTTGTTATATATTGACTTTATGGATAGTTATGATAAGTAAATCAAAAGACATGCGTCTACACCTTCATCTATATGGAGGTGCATCTGAAGGATGAGGTGGTAGATGTTTGAAGTGAACCCATGCATAGTTAGGTTCAGCCCAACTTGAATAAAGAACCATAAAACTGCCTAACATCAGTTTTAATCTACATACAGGGCCATAATTGCACAGAATGAGAATCCGAGGTTGTTTTTTTAAATGAGCAATTATCATCATAAAATCATTTTTACATTACATTAATATACATTTATATAGGGCTAATATCCAGTCTTTAGAAGACTGCTCAAGAGCGCTGCTGAACTCCGTCTGCAATGCTGCACAAATGAGTTTTTAATCTGGATTTGAAATTACTAAATGTCTCGACTGATCGACGAGAGAGGGGTGTTCCACAAAGCTGAGCCGACAACCTGAAAAGACCTTTCCAATCATTTTGACGTCTTTTATGAGTCAAAGGTTCATACGGGTCAGACAAACTCATGTTTTTCCATCGTGGTCACCACGATACGCTTTATGTACGTGTCGAAAATCTACCAAAAATACAGGGGGTGCTTAATTAAGTTTTTTGTGTATATTATGCCAGTGTGCAGAATCAAACCTGGGCTCTCTGTGTGACGAGCGAACGCATCTCCCTGACTACCACGTCGTCCTTTTCGGCCCTATTCACCTGAGTACAAAAGTGGCCCAATGACTTGATGGATAGATAGAGATCAATAAAATAGTTGATTGTTCGGCATTCCAGAAGTTGGTGAGTCGATAATGACGCATACAACTTTATGGATGACAACTTCTTGTTTATTGCATAGAAGATTCTACACCTAAACTTCGCTCTACGCAATAAACAAGAAATTGTCATCAATGAAGTTGTATGCGTCATTATCTATTAGACAGATTAAAATGACTAGTTAGATCTCAGGAAACAAAACCGAAATGATGATACATTGGACAAGAATAGAAAAACAGATTAAATGATGAAGAGCAACAGAACCAGGAGGCCATAACACGGAGCAAGCTAACGAAGTGAACACATTTTATTACTGTTTGTTATTTGTATGGCACAGGTAGGCTGCCTTCATTGATGAGAATCGATCGAACTATTAGCTCAAATAGGCTTTTCAATTACTCCGCTTTATGTGAATAGAAAGTCCCACAATTACATCCTGCCGTGTATTGTCAGGGCTGGGTGTTACAACGGTAAACCGGCATTGCTTCCCGATACAGGTCGTTAAACAGCGACATATGTACCAGCACTAAACTGCCCGGACTGCAAGTGTTGAATAAAGCTAAAGAGACCGCCGGGAATCAATACAGTGCCGCAGGTGGCGACATACGGGATGCGACACCGTCAGTGGGTTTGTATTCTGCAGTAATGACCGTCAGTAGTGGTCACTTCACCTCAGACACAGATCTTCCATTCCAGATGAAGCCTCACGGAAAACATGGGAATAAAGGAAATATTTGCGGAGGAATTTAGTTCCACGAGTTTCCTTCTCGACTACAAATATCCGGGGCGGTTTGTGCGGTTTGAGGTAAGACATTACTTTATACTTGGGCTTGTACACAGGTAATAACGGGTTCTGTATACTACACTTCCTCCTGTGTAGCCATGATAGGTGACAAAGGACGAGTATATCTACCTTCGCTTGTCAAGGAACATATTACCGACAAATATGATAACCTGTGGTGTCCATGTGCCATCAGTGTCCAAAGTTAGATGAACAGGTTATTCTGTAAATTCCGACTGATCTTGGCCATCTATCTTGGTCCGTCCGTCCGTCCGTCCTGTCATCTATCAATCACAAAAATTGTAGTAACTATCATTCTATTGTAGTAATCATATAAAGCGACACAAACATCCACAATCATGTGAAAGCCGCCCCTTGTACGGGCCCAACGTTTTTATCAGCATGCGCCTTAAAGGTACTGTCAAAGACTGTTCACACCAGGTGTTCGCTAACAGACGAGCGGGTAGATGGCACCTCTCAGTAACAGACGAGCGGGTAGATAGCACCTCTCAGTAACGGACGAGCGGGTAGATAGCACCTCTCAGTAACAGACGAGCGGGTAGATAGCACCTCTCAGTAACAGACGAGCGGGTAGATAGCACCTCTCAGTAACAGACGAGCGGGTAGATAGCACCTCTCAGTAACAGACGAGCGGGTAGATAGCACCTCACAGTAACAGACGAGCGGGTAGATAGCACCTCTCAGTAACAGACGAGCGGATAGATAGAACCTCTCAGTAACAGACGAGCGGATAGATAGCACCTCTCAGTAACAGACGAGCGGGTAGATAGCACCTCTCAGTAACAGACGAGCGGATAGATAGAACCTCTCAGTAACAGACGAGCGGGTAGATAGCACCTCTCAGTAACAGACGAGCGGGTAGATAGCACCTCTCAGTAACAGACGAGCGGGTAGATAGCACCTCTCAGTAACAGACGAGCGGATAGATAGAACCTCTCAGTAACAGACGAGCGGATAGATAGCACCTCTCAGTAACAGACGAGCGGGTAGATAGCACCTCTCAGTAACAGACGAGCGGATAGATAGAACCTCTCAGTAACGGACGAGCGGGTAGATAGCACCTCTCAGTAACAGACGAGCGGGTAGATAGCACCTCTCAGTAACAGACGAGCGGGTAGATAGCACCTCTCAGTAACAGACGAGCGGATAGATAGAACCTCTCAGTAACAGACGAGCGGGTAGATAGCACCTCTCAGTAACAGACGAGCGGATAGATAGCACCTCTCAGTAACAGACGAGCGGATAGATAGAACCTCTCAGTAACAGACGAGCGGGTAGATGGCACCTCTCAGTAACAGACGAGCGGGTAGATAGCACCTCTCAGTAACAGACGAGCGGGTAGATGGCACCTCTCAGTAACAGACGAGCGGGTAGATAGCACCTCTCAGTAACAGACGAGCGGATAGATAGAACCTCTCAGTAACAGACGAGCGGGTAGATAGCACCTCTCAGTAACACATTCAAAGGCAAGTCCATTGTTCACGGGACAAATTGGGTAACTGCATCCGACATCGGGACACTGATGGCTAATATTTAGACATGTTCTTCACACGCCTCGTATGAAACTGTCTGAGCATCAAGGCCGTGAATCTTGTAACCATAATGAAACAAGCTGTACAGAAGGAATCGTTTGACATATTAGACATATTGTATGTTACTTTGTCTGGTAGGTTACAAGTTATGAAGATCAACGTGACCATACTACACCGCGTGCATTGCTGGACAAGAATCGTTAATTCTAGAAGGTTTCAAAGGTCTAGGTTAATCTAGCAATTCCCAAATACCAAGAGTACCTTCAAAGGTCTAGCTTAATCTAGCATTACCCAAATACCAATAGTACCTTCAAAGGTCAAAGTTAACCAAGCAATACCCAAATAACAATAGTACCTAAAAAGACTGTCTCAATTGTCATTCAGTGAATATTGAAAATGACCAGTTTCCCAAGCTTTTGTTGGCATATCGGAAATGGGAGCCACCATCAGTTGGTATCGTCCAGTAACACTAGGGATAGCGGTAGTGTCGGCGGTACACACAATGGCGCTAGGGATAGCAATACAGTCGGTGGTACACACAATGACATTAGGGATAGCAATACAGTCGGTGGTACACACAATGACACTAGGGATAGCAATAGAGTCAGTGGTACACACAATGACACTAGGGATAGCAATACAGTCGGTGGTACACACAATGACACTAGGGATAGCAATACAGTCGGTGGTACACACAATGACACCAGGGATAACTACACAGTCGGTGGTACACACAATGACACCAGGGATAGCAATACAGTCGGTGGTACACACAATGACACCAGGGATAACTACACAGTCGGTGGTACACACAATGACACTAGGGATAGCAATAGAGTCGGTGGTACACACAATGACACTAGGGATAGCAATACAGTCGGTGGTACACACAATGACACCAGGGATAACTACACAGTCGGTGGTACACACAATGACACTAGGGATAGCAATAGAGTCGGTGGTACACACAATGACACCAGGGATAGCAATAGAGTCGTGGTACACACAATGACACCAGGGATAGCAATACAGTCGGTGGTACGCACAATGACACTAGGGATAGCAATACAGTCGGTGGTACACACAATGACACCAGGGATAACTACACAGTCGGTGGTACACACAATGACACCAGGGATAGCAATAGAGTCGTGGTACACACAATGACACCAGGGATAGCAATACAGTCGGTGGTACACACAATGACACTAGGGATAGCAATACAGTCGGTGGTACACACAATGACACCAGGGATAGCAATACAGTCGGTGGTACACACAATGACACCAGGGATAACTACACAGTCGGTGGTACACACAATGACACTAGGGATAGCAATAGAGTCGGTGGTACACACAATGACACCAGGGATAGCAATAGAGTCGTGGTACACACAATGACACCAGGGATAGCAATACAGTCGGTGGTACGCACAATGACACCAGGAATAGCAATACAGTCGGTGGTACACACAATGACACTAGGGATAGCAATACAGTCGGTGGTACACACAATGACACCAGGGATAGCGATACAGTCGGTGGTACGCACAATGACACTAGGGATAGCAATACAGTCGGTGGTACACACAATGACACTAGGGATAGCGATAGAGTCGGTGGTACACACAATGACACTAGGGATAGCAATACAGTCGGTGGTACACACAATGACACCGGGGATAGCAATACAGTCGGTGGTACACACAATGACACCAGGGATAGCAATACAGTCGGTGGTACACACAATGACACTAGGGATAGCAATACAGTCGGTGGTACACACAATGACACTAGGGATAGCGATAGAGTCGGTGGTACACACAATGACACTAGGGGTAGCAATAGAGTCGGTGGTACACACAATGACACTAGGGATAGCAATACAGTCGGTGGTACACACAATGACACTAGGGATAGCAATACAGTCGGTGGTACACACAATGACACTAGGGATAGCAATACAGTCGTGGTACACACAATGACACCAGGGATAGCAATACAGTCGGTTGTACACACAATGACACTAGGGATAGCAATACAGTCGGTGGTACACACAATGACACCAGGGATAGCAATACAGTCGGTGGTACACACAATGACACCAGGGATAGCAATACAGTCGGTGGTACACACAATGACACTAGGGATAGCAATACAGTCGGTGGTACACGCAATGACACCAGGGATAGCAATACAGTCGGTGGTACACACAATGACACCAGGGATAGCGATACAGTCGGTGGTACAATTACACACCTTGCTTCTACATTGGTTAAGCTCCCGGTACAGTTCAAGGTCGTATATCGAAGATGAAACTGTTATCTCCGCACAACCATTGGCTGTCACTAGGGATAGCAATAGAGTCTAGGTCTGTACAGTGACTAGGCTGTACCTGCTCTAGTGCATACCATGTTACGCTGGACTCCAAAAGCAAGAAACAGTAATTTCCACGCGACTGTTAACATTAAACAGTCATACATTCCTGGCGTTTAGTCACTGTTAAAACATGGTATTATGAGCTTGAAGGGGATCTTAAAACATTGTTCAACAATAACCCATACAAAATACTGTTACGTAAAGGACTAGTAGCAAGTGTATGTGTGTGTACAATAGCAGAGTGTTCGGGTGTTTTGCCGTATGGTATAGATTAGTGTTGCAGTTTGCGTTGTGACAGTTGGCTCCAGTCGAGAGAAGCCGCTATTGTACCATGACCAGTACGGGGGAGTGAGTCATGTGTTTTGAAATGGAAAAGGAGACTTTCATTACAGGAGGTTTGTAGTATACATTGTGTGATGCCATCTGTCACCAAAACACGACCGGCACGTCAGTCCTGCTCATGTTTTCTGTTGTGATGTTAATATCGATTTGCCCTTAAAATCCACTTAATGATACCCAACTGTGAGTAGGTAGTGAATACCAGCCTGTGGCTAATTCTACGTGGGGTGAGTGAGTACGGTTTTACACCGCTTTTAGCAATATTCCAGCAATATAACGGGGGGGGGGGAACCAGAAATGGGCTTTACACATTGTACCCATGTGGAGATTCGAACCCGGGTCTTCGGCGTGACGAGCGAACGCTTTACCCACTAAGCTAACCCAACGCCCAAATTCTTCGTGGATGCCATGATCATAATATCACCCAAACCAAAGGGCCGCAACTCTGAAGAGCAACTCGGTCAGTCGTGTACCATGTTCTTGAATAATCCAGTCGACATAAATTTGTTTAGAGATAAAGATCCTGTTATCACAAATTGCTCTGTATATCCATGGTATTTCCAGCGAATAACTTTGTATCCAGCCTCATGGTATAACTCTAGGAGTTTGAGACACATATAGACACATTTATTCAAGTTTATTTCTGAAGTTTCAAAGCGAACGCTTCAAAGGGACGTTATTATAGTGCATCAGCATATTGGTTATCCCCTTGGCCGTGTATGTCAACACACCAGGCAATGCCACCGTTTCCTTATCTGTCCATTTTTGTCCCTTCGTCTGTTCATTGTTGTGTTTACCTATATGTTCACATCTATACTGTCAGTCATTCCGACTTGTAGGTAACCCCCTCAGATTGACTTGTAGCCCCGCTCAACACACTTATGTCTGAGCCGGGAACTCCGCCCACAACTGTCTCGTGTATTTGTTTACTGTGTAACCCACCGAAGAATTTGGACGTATTCTTCGTGTTAATTCGGAGCTAGCTCCCCAGTCGACATCTGTACGTGTTGACAGTTGTATGTTTTGTGTTATGCCTATACAGCTGTGGTTTCACCGTGTAATACACTAAGCATACTGTTTACAATATCTCTTAATTAGTGAACTGTTACTATGTTTTGTAGTTGGTTCAGTGACTGTAATTACACGCTGTATGCAGACTTATGTGAGCTCATGAAATAGATGGAATCTATTTGTAAACCACAATGTAAATCACAATGTAAACCTAATCATAATCGAAAGCGATCAAAGCTGTCATTATTATATATGTTAATTATGAAAGTGTTACGTTCAGAAGAAAAGGCAAAGTATATATATTTTACACTGAATGTTTGTCATTTCTGTCTCTTCACTGGATTTCATGTGCATGTGTGTGCGTGCGTGCGTGTGTACGCGTGTATGTGCGTGTGTGTTTAGCCGTCCACAAGAATATGACAATAACTGTTTTAGACTCCACCTGTGTACTGAAATTGTGTTATTACAATCACAAAATATAAATCACCAACGCCAAAAGAAATGCAGTCTCGGGTATAACAGATTTCATTTGTGGTAACCTGTCGACGCCTCGCACCAACACTCCATACGAAGATGTAAGCAACTGAGTTCTCTGACTAAAAGATCGTTGCTCACGATATCAATCATTGGGTTGTCTGGTCCAGACTCGATCATTTACAGACGTCCGTAATGTAGCTGGATGTTGCTGAGGCTGCGTCAAAACAATCACACAATCACTATTCCTAAGCGAGACTATGAGTATCGTGCTAGTATGGCTACAGTGTCTGTACTGACAAGTTTATGGGCAAGACGACGTTGAACAGACACTCTTTGTAGCCCTCAGTACGTGTAGCGTTAAACAGGGACCCGCGACGTCAGGTATAGCGCTGTTACGTGAAGGTTGGGTCAGCTGTGACGTCAGGTATAGTGCTGTTACGTGAAGGTTGGGTCAGCTGTGACGTCAGGTATAGTGCTATGACGTGAAGGTTGGGTCAGCTGTTACGTCAGGTATAGTGCTGTCACGTGAAGGTTGGGTCAGCTGTGACGTCAGGTATAGTGCTGTCACGTGAAGGTTGGGTCAGCTGTGACGTCAGGTATAGTGCTGTCACGTGAAGGTTGGAGCTGTGACGTCAGGTATAGAATTGTCTTCAGCAACCCATGTGTGTCGTAAAAGGCGACTCACGGGATCAGGTGGTCAGACCCGCTAACTTGGTTGACACATGTCCTGTTATCGGCATCGCGTAGATCGTTGCACTTAATGGCAATCACTGGATTGTCTGGACTAGACTCCATTATGTACAGACCCACGCCATATTGCTGGAATATTGCCTAGTGCGGCGCTGCCGTTTGAATGATGTCATTTAAATAGCTGGTTGTAAAGTTAGGGTGTTGTCATTCATGGTATGACGTGATACTGTATACTTGATTGAACGTGTTTTGTGACGCCTGAACACTGTTGCTTACTGTTGTATTACAGTGTGGGTACCCGAAGTTGTACGCAGCCTGGCGGTTTATATGGATGCTCTACAACATAGCTGCAATCATATCGAGTGGACTCCTTGAGAAGTATTATGCCAGCTCGCCAGACAACAGATGGAAGTGGCTGATTTTCCTCACGAACTGGACGTTCGTTGTCCTGACAGTTGGGTGCATTGTGGACTTCTTCACAACAGTGTTCGTCCAGTGGGGATATCCGCAGCTGCTGGAAGGTATGTAGGAACGCGTGTGAAGGTATGTGAGGGTGTAGGAACGCGTGTGAAGGTATGTGAGGGTGTAGGAACGCGTGTGAAGGTATGTGAGGGTGTAGGAACGCGTGTGGAGGTATGTGAGGGTGTAGGAACGCGTGTGAAGGTATGTGAGGGTGTAGGAACGCGTGTGGAGGTATGTGAGGGTGTAGGAACGCGTGTGGAGGTATGTGAGGGTGTAGGAACGCGTGTAAAGGTATGTGAGGGTGTAGGAAGGTATGTCAGGGTGTAGGAAGGTATGTCAGGGTGTAGGAAGGAGTTTGGATATAATCTCTTCAAACACAGAAGTCCTTCAGTGGGTCCAGAACACTATATTCGGCGTCTAAATATATAACTACTTTGTAGTATAGCTGCGGCCAAGCATCATCTCAGAGGCGATCGTCAGTTCTCCTGCCAAGCTACTGTCCCTCTTACAACAGGAATTCTACGTAAATACAGACTATCCGGCAGCCCTGTATCGTATTACGCTACATGTGTGGTCATTCTACAGTACTGAGCACCACATCCACCATGATAAACTTCCGTTGCCAACCGGCCATACGCTGAGGTTAATTAATGTTAATCACATGCAGCTGACCTGCACATGGCTGTACTGATGGCCGTGGTAACAATAGTGCTGGGGAGATTTAGATGTGCTACTCCGGGAACATACAAACATGTCTGTACTCCCTGTTAAAACCCATATCCAACCAAAGCACCTACGATGTCACTCTGTCCACAAGATCCAGGCCGCTTGTCATTGTGGGTAGGTTTTGTTACGTCTGTGCTTCAGCCCGGCTATTGCTGCTGTTGTTGCGCTACTGTTGTGATGCTGTTGCGTTGTTGCGCTGTTGTTGTTGTTCCTGCTGCTGTGCTACTGTTGCAGGGCATAGCGTCATAATGTCTGTGTCCAGCAGCACCATGGGTCTCGGAGAGATTGCATAGGACAAACATGATTTCATCCAATTTTACATTTATCCAAAGTAGATCCAAAATATTATATAATAGTGTTTTTGGTGATATACCTGTCACCCTACACTTCTAACTCAAAAGGAATGTTTACTTCAACTCAAAGTCAGCCAACACAATCCTGAAAATCCAACACAATCCTGGGCTTACAACAGTATAAGTGTTCCCGTGTCTTCAGTTTGGGATTAGCAATGACTCTAGACTAGAATGAGACACCAGAAGGTGTAACCTGTTTGATTATTAACCATCTGTGTCGATACACCATGTTCAGTGTGCGAGGTAATTGTACAGGGAGTACGGTTGGCCTTTAATGGGATGACAGGCGTTGTGTGACACACAGACGTCCCAGAATTCTTGGTCGTGGGTACGAACCAAAGCGTCGTTCTGACAATGGTTCATTGACGGACATTGACTGTCCGCTTCGTTTAACAGGTCAACTATAGCGCAGTAGGGACATTGACTGTCCGCTTCGTTTAACAGGTCAACTATAGCACAGTAGGGATATTGACTGTCCGCTTTGTTTAAAAGGTCAACTATAGCACAGTTCGGACATTGACTGTCCGCTTCGTTTAACAGGTCAACTACAGCGCAGTAGGGACATTGACTGTCCACTTCGTTTAACAGGTCAACTATAGTGAAGTAGGGATATTGACTGTCAGCTTCGGTTAACAGGTCAACTATAGCATAGTAAGGATATTGACTGTCCGCTTCGTTTAACAGGTCAACTATAGCGCAGTAGGGATATTGACTGTCCGCTTCGTTAAACAGGTCAACTATAGCACAGTTGGGACATTGACTGTCCGCTTCGTTTAACAGGTCAACTATAGCGCAGTAGGGACATTGACTGTCCACTTCGTTTAACAGGTCAACTATAGTGAAGAAGGGATATTGACTGTCCGCTTCGTTTAACAGTTCAACTATAGCGCAGTAGGGATATTGACTGTCCGCTTCGTTTAACAGGTCAACTATAGTGAAGAAGGGATATTGACTGTCCGCTTCGTTTAACAGGTCAACTATAGCGCAGTAAGGATATTGACTGTCCGCTTCGTTTAACAGGTCAACTATAGCATAGTTGGGACATTGACTGTCCGCTTCGTTTAACATGTCAATTATAGCACTGTAGGGACATTGACTGTCCACTTCGTTTAACAGGTCAACTATAGTGAAGAAGGGATATTGACTGTCCGCTTCGTTTAACAGGTCAACTATAGCGCAGTAGGGACATTGACTGTCCACTTCGTTTAACAGGTCAACTATAGCATAGTAAGGATATTGACTGTCCGCTTCGTTAACAGGTCAACTATAGCGCAGTAGGGATATTGACTGTCCACTTCGTTTAACAGGTCAACTATAGCGCAGTTAGGATATTGACTGTCCGCTTCGTTTAACAGGTCAACTATAGCATAGTAAGGATATTGACTGTCCGCTTCGTTTAACAGGTCAACTATAGCGCAGTAGGGATATTGACTGTCCGCTTCGTTTAACAGGTCAACTATAGCCCTGTAGGGATATTGACTGTCCACTTCGTTTAACAGGTCAACTATAGCACAGTTGGGACATTGACTGTCCGCTTCGTTTAACAGGTCAACTATAGCACTGTAGGGACATTGACTGTCCGCTTCGTTTAACAGGTCAACTATAGTGAAGTAGGGATATTGACTGTCCGCTTCGTTTAACAGGTCAACTATAGCGCAGTAGGGACATTGACTGTCCACTTCGTTTAACAGGTCAACTATAGCACAGTTGGGATATTGACTGTCAGCTTCGTTTAACAGGTCAACTATAGCACAGTTGGGATATTGACTGTCAGCTTCGTTTAACAGGTCAACTGTAGTGAAGGGGGGACATTGACTGTCCGCTTCGTTTAACTGGTCAACTATAGTGAAGTAGGGACATTGACTGTCCGCTTCGTTTAACTGGTCAGCTATAGTGAAGTAGGGATATTGACTGTCCGCTTCGTTTAACTGGTTAACTATAGTGAAGTAGGGACATTGACTGTCCGCTTCGTTTAACTGGTCAACTATAGTGAAGTAGGGATATTGACTGTCCGCTTCGTTTAACAGGTCAACTATAGCGCAGTAGGGACATTGACTGTCCGCTTCGTTTAACAAGTCAACTATAGTGAAGTAGGGATATTGACTGTCCACTTCGTTTAACAGGTCAACTGTAGTGAAGTAGGGACATTGACTGTCCACTTCGTTTTACAGTTCAACTATAGCACTGTAAGTAGAGTGACCACGCCTGTATTAGACGAGGTATAACCATGTTTCTCTGGTTTCGAATAATGTTGTTTTTGTAATGTTTCAGAGAAAGAAGAGGAATCGTTACCATGGTACCTGAAGCTGGTGTGGGTGTTGTCTAACATCTACAACGCTGTGTCTCTGATGGTCACCGTGGGTTACTGGGGCTTCGGCACCTTCGACCGTAAGTGAGGTGGTGGTAGCTGGACGAGTGGACTCACAACTAGTGGTCACACCAGATCCTGTCCCACATTTACCCTGCACACCGCCACATAACTGAAATAGATGTAACGCTTTTCGATGCAGTGTTAAGAGAGTTATTCATGAAACATTATTCCAATGGAACATGTATTGCTGCATTTGAATTGAAAGCCTCGTGTGTGCAATGGCGGGGTGACGTTGGTAGAAAGACATCGACCTAATGAGTGTAATGGCGGGGTGACGTCGGTAGAAAGACATCGACCTAATGTGTGTAATGGCGGGGTGGCGTTGGTAGAAAGACATCGACCTAATGTGTGTAATGGCGGGGTGACGTCGGTAGAAAGACATCGACCTAATGTGTGTAATGGCGGAGTGGTGTTGGTAGAAAGACATCGACCTAATGTGTGTAATGGCGGGGTGACGTCGGTAGAAAGACATCGACCTGATGTGTGTAATGGCGGGCTGGTGTTGGTAGAAAGACATCGACCTAATGTGTGTAATGACGGGGTGACGTCGGTAGAAAGACATCGACCTAATATGTGTAATGGCGGGGTGACGTCGGTAGAAAGACATCGACCTAATGAGTGTAATGGCGGGGTGACGTCGGTAGAAAGACATCGACCTAATGTGTGTAATGGCGGGGTGACGTCGGTAGAAAGACATCGACCTAATGAGTGTAATGGCGGGGTGACGTCGGTAGAAAAACATCGACCTAATGTGTGTAATGGCGGGGTGACGTCGGTAGAAAGACATCGACCTAATGAGTGTAATGGCGGGGTGACGTCGGTAGAAAGACATCGACCTAATGTGTGTAATGGCGGGGTGACGTCGGTAGAAAGACATCGACCTAATGAGTGTAATGGCGGGGTGACGTCGGTAGAAAAACATCGACCTAATGTAATGTAATGGGGGTGACGTCGGTAGAAAGACATCGACCTAATGAGTGTAATGGCGGGGTGACGTCGGTAGAAAAACATCGACCTAATGTGTGTAATGACGGGGTGGTGTTGGTAGAAAGACATCGACCTAATGAGTGTAATGGCGGGGTGGTGTTGGTAGAAAGACATCGACCTAATGAGTGTAATGACGGGGTGGTGTTGGTAGAAAGACATCGACCTAATGAGTGTAATGGCGGCGTGATGTTGGTAGAAAGACATCGACCTAATGAGTGTAATGGCGGGGTGGTGTTGGTAGAAAGACATCGACCTAATGAGTGTAATGGCGGGGTGGTGTTGGTAGAAAGACATCGACCTAATGAGTGTAATGACGGGGTGGTGTTGGTAGAAAGACATCGACCTAATGAGTGTAATGGCGGGGTGACGTCGGTAGAAAGACATCGACCTAATGTGTGTAATGGCGGGGTGACGTCGGTAGAAAGACATCGACCTAATGAGTGTAATGGCGGGGTGACGTCGGTAGAAAAACATCGACCTAATGTGTGTAATGGCGGGGTGACGTCGGTAGAAAGACATCGACCTAATGAGTGTAATGGCGGGGTGACGTCGGTAGAAAAACATCGACCTAATGTGTGTAATGACGGGGTGGTGTTGGTAGAAAGACATCGACCTAATGAGTGTAATGGCGGCGTGATGTTGGTAGAAAGACATCGACCTAATGTGTGTAATGACGGGGTGGTGTCGGTAGAAAGACATCGACCTAATGAGTGTAATGGCGGCGTGATGTTGGTAGAAAGACATCGACCTAATGAGTGTAATGGCGGGGTGGTGTTGGTAGAAAGACATCGACCTAATGAGTGTAATGACGGGGTGGTGTTGGTAGAAAGACATCGACCTAATGTGTGTAATGACGGGGTGGTGTTGGTAGAAAGACATCGACCTAATGAGTGTAATGGCGGCGTGATGTTGGTAGAAAGACATCGACCTAATGTGTGTAATGGCGGGGTGACGTCGGTAGAAAAACATCGACCTAATGTGTGTAATGGCGGGCTGGTGTTGGTAGAAAGACATCGACCTAATGTGTGTAATGGCGGGGTGGCGTTGGTAGAAAGACATCGACCTAATGTGTGTAATGACGGGGTGGTGTTGGTAGGAAGACATCGACCTAATGTGTGTAATGGCGGGGTGACGTCGGTAGAAAAACATCGACCTAATGTGTGTAATGGCGGCGTGATGTTGGTAGAAAGACATCGACCTAATGTGTGTAATGGCGGGCTGGTGTTGGTAGAAAGACATCGACCTAATGTGTGTAATGGCGGGGTGACGTCGGTAGAAAGACATCGACCTAATGTGTGTAATGGCGGGGTGGCGTTGGTAGAAAGACATCGACGTCTGTAACAGTTGATTACCTTGGTCAGACATACTCCGGCGGTGTAGATAGTCGAGGTTAGATAATAGGGCTGTAACGATGCATCGAACTATCGATGGATTGCAATTGTTGAGTCTTCGATAGCAATTAATCGATGGTAGAAATGGAAAACTATCGATGCATCAATAGTATGTGTGTCTTTCGATAGTTTATTAATTGACTTGCGTTGGTAAATGGGCAGCGCAAAATACCACACTCCGGCGCAGCGATAACTTAGCATAACATCACTGTCAAAAGCTAATTTGCATATCACGTGACCGGACTTTTCTCTTGTTTGTAAACAAACGTGTATACTCGTAAGTAAGAAGATACTGGCCCAACGCAACCAATTCGGCGCGGTCTTCATAATGTTTTACATTGTTACATAAATAATCTTCTACGACTGCGACAGTAAAATTTATGTCAATACATATTTACATATCAAAGGGGCTGGATCGTTTGCTTTCAATAAGGCTTCGATGACAGCACGTGGTGCCGTACAACCCATGTACACAAAGGATCGCTACGCTACGCTACGATAGTTTGACACGTTTTAGGATATTTTCTCAGTGAAACTAAACAATACTAACATTTATGTTTAATGTGATGTGTAGACTCGTCAAAAATACAAGAGTTACGAAACATGTACAATATATTGAATGGACTGTGCAAGATGTGACGAATCCTCACATCTTTCTGGCCTGTGGCAGAGGTACTATGCTGGCTGGCCGCATTGAACTCTGGGTAGGAGAGTGGCAAAATACAGGAAGTACCAGATTCCTTCACTTTTATTTACAGCTATCCGCCCCTGTTACCTCTTAAACAAACATGACTATTTACTTGATCTGGGTTTAAAGTTTCTTGTCAGTTTTTAAAAGAGACTGGAACTACTTCAACTTGGTGTTATTTCATATAAACTATACATTCATTTGGGAAATGATTTCAAATGAGACAATTCCAGGAGAAAAATACCATTGCAATGGCATTGCAATAGTTGGTTGCAATAGACTAGCGCTATCGCAATAGTTGTTTCCCCCTCAATAGTCACCCCTATTAGATAATACCGTGAAACCAGACCCCGATAGACCAGACACCTTTGCTTTTCAGCAGACACGCTGTCTAGATTAAGTCTTACTTTGTGAAACGGGCACCCTTCTGTCTATCCTATCTATAAGGGGAAACTGTATGAGGAACTAATATTGAAACTGTATGAGGAACTAGTATGAGGAACTAGTATTGAAACTGTATGAGGAACTAGTATGAGGAACTAGTATTGAAACTGTATGAGGAACTAGTATTGAACTAGTATGAGGAACTAGTATGAGGAACTAGTATGAGGAACTAGTATTGAACTAGTATTGAAACTGTATGAGGAACTAGTATTGAACTAGTATGAGGAACTAGTATGAGGAACTAGTATTGAAACTGTATGAGGAACTAGTATGAGGAACTAGTATTGAAACTGTATGAGGAACTAGTATGAGGAACTAGTATGAGGAACTAGTATTGAAACTGTATGAGGAACTAGTATGAGGAACTAGTATTGAACTAGTATGAGGAACTAGTATGAGGAACTAGTATTGAAACTGTATGAGGAACTAGTATGAGGAACTAGTATTGAACTAGTATGAGGAACTAGTATGAGGAACTAGTATGAGGAACTAGTATTGAAACTGTATGAGGAACTAATATTGAAACTGTATGAGGAACTAGTATCAGGAACTAGTATTGAAACTGTATGAGGAACTAGTATTGAAACTGTATGAGGAACTAGTATTGAAACTGTATGAGGAACTAGTATTGAAACTGTATGAGGAACTAGTATTGAAACTGTATGAGGAACTAGTATTGAAACTGTATGAGGAACTAGTATGAGGAACTAGTATTGAACTAGTATGAGGAACTAGTATGAGGAACTAGTATTGAACTAGTATGAGGAACTAGTATTGAAACTGTATGAGGAACTAGTATGAGGAACTAGTATTGAACTAGTATGAGGAACTAGTATGAGGAACTAGTATGAGGAACTAGTATGAGGAACTAGTATTGAAACTGTATGAGGAACTAGTATGAGGAACTAGTATTGAACTAGTATGAGGAACTAGTATGAGGAACTAGTATGAGGAACTAGTATTGAAACTGTATGAGGAACTAGTATGAGGAACTAGTATTGAAACTGTATGAGGAACTAGTATTGAAACTGTATGAGGAACTAGTATTGAACTAGTATGAGGAACTTGTATGAGGAACTAGTATTGAACTAGTATTGAAACTGTATGAGGAACTAGTATTGAAACTGTATGAGGAACTAGTATTGAAACTGTATGAGGAACTAGTATTGAAACTGTATGAGGAACTAGTATTTAAACTGTATGAGGAACTAGTATTGAAAGATAACGATACTGACTAAGGCAAGTTCAACTTGGATTAAGCACAGAGAGACCTGTCACTGGACGCAAGAAAACCTTACAATAACACTACGCCATGAACCCTTTACTTCTAGCAGACGTAGCTGTAGATTACCCCTGATTCTATGTGTTTCTCTGTTGACAACACTGATGTTTATTTTTCAGCAACAAAAGGTTTGTCAGGACCGCGAGCTCTTCCCTTCCTCGGCCACGGGATGAATTCCATCTACGTCATCTGCAACATCTGTGTTACGGCTATGCCTGTACGTCTCTTCCACCTGTGGCAACCTTTAGTCTTCACCGTCATATACGGCACCTTCAACATCATCTACATCGCTGCAGGCGCCACCGACGATACAAACAAGCCCTACATCTATCCACCAATAGACTGGCGGAAAAACCCCGTTCAGACGGAAGCTATAGGTCTTGCTGTAGTGTTTGGCGTGATCTTCGCGCATATGGTGATATTCTTCCTACATCTAGCCCGTAGAGGCATAGTGCACGTTTGGCGATGCAGATCGCCAGCAGAAGAGGAGGAATCAACTGCAGCCAAAATAAAGTCCTCCAGCGACGCATACGGGAGCACTCACACAACCAATAACTTGTAACATGCATTCGGGTATATATGGCATATGGTTGAATAAAGTGTTGAGTTTAACTTTGAGACGTTCTTTCATCTTAACAAGATGTACATGTGTATGGTGCGATAGGTTGGGGCCGGTCTCGGACTGACAGAATACGTCAGGGGGCATGGAGGACACGCACTCGGAACCTTGTATGTTTTTTACACCGCAGTCAGTAACGTCAAAGTCACCTCACGGCGGCATTCCCTTTAGCCTGGAACATCATGGTAGACAACAACGACCGGGTACCATTATACACAGTGTCCTTTAGTCCCCAGTGGTCAGCGGTGGTCCGGGTCAGGTATTTCCTACAGAGAAAGTCAAGGTCTTCTTGACATCACTTATCATGATGACCCAATCTATTGTTGCCACGATATCAACCACGCGATTGTCTGGTTCAGACCCAGTTACTTACAGGCCGTCTTCATAACTGGGACGTTGTTTATTTGGGCTTTCAAGCACGCACATGCACGCAAATGCAGGCACACACACGCGCAATTACCAAGTGAATCCCCTTGTGTTCCCCAATCAGTTCCTGCATCACATTACTGTTTATACTGAATAATAATAAAGGGGCAATTCATGATTCAATTTGCACAATCTCAGGAACTGGGCAGGGACTGAAAAATACACCAGATGAGAGACATCATGGTTAATGTTTATTCTGACAAGACAGAACCTTGATACAATATAACACATCCAATCATTCAAATATATTATTTTTAAAACTGAATTTAATGGTTATTCTATCAAAACAGTATCTGGATGCATTGTGACACTACCACAGTTAACCACACTCAGAGCCGTGCTTGTGCATAAAGCATGTTATAACCACGTGTAGAGCTGTGCATGTACATAAAGCACCATATAACCACGTGTACAGCTGTGCATGTACATAAAGCATGTTATAACCACGTGTAGAGCTGTGCATGTACATAAAGCATGTTATAACCACGTGTAGAGCTGTGCATGTACATAAAGCATGTTATAACCACGTGTAGAGCTGTGCATGTACATAAAGCATGTTATAACCACGTGTAGAGCTGTGCATGTACATAAAGCATGTTATAACCACGTGTAGAGCCGTGCATGTACATAAAGCATGTTATAACCACGTGTAGAGCCGTGCATGTACATAAAGCATGTTATAACCACGTGTAGAGCCGTGCATGTACATAAAGCATGTTATAACCACGTGTAGAGCCGTGCATGTACATAAAGCATGTTATAACCACGTGTAGAGCCGTGCATGTACATAAAGCATGTTATAACCACGTGTAGAGCCGTGCATGTACATAAAGCATGTTATAACCACGTACAGAACCGGACATGTACATTAAGCACCATATAACCACGTGTAGAGCAGTGCATGTACATAAAGCATGTTATAACCACGTGTAGAGCCGTGCATGTACATAAAGCATGTTATAACCACGTGTAGAGCCGTGCATGTACATAAAGCATGTTATAACCACGTACAGAACCGGACATGTACATTAAGCACCATATAACCACGTGTAGAGCAGTGCATGTACATAAAGCATGTTATAACCACGTGTAGAGCCGTGCATGTACATAAAGCATGTTATAACCACGTGTAGAGCCGTGCATGTACATAAAGCATGTTATAACCACGTGTAGAGCCGTGCATGTACATAAAGCATGTTATAACCACGTACAGAACCGGACATGTACATTAAGCACCATATAACCACGTGTAGAGCAGTGCATGTACATAAAGCATGTTATAACCACGTGTAGAGCCGTGCATGTACATAAAGCATGTTATAACCACGTACAGAACCGGACATGTACATTAAGCACCATATAACCACGTGTAGAGCAGTGCATGTACATAAAGCATGTTATAACCACGTGTAGAGCCGTGCATGTACATAAAGCATGTTATAACCACGTACAGAACCGGACATGTACATTAAGCACCATATAACCACGTGAAGAGCAGTCCATTTACATAAAGCATGTTATAACCACGTGTAGAGCTGTGCATGTACATAAATCACCATATAACCACGTGTAGAGCTGTACATGTACATAAAGCACCATATAACCACGTGTAGAGCAGTGCATGTACATAAAGCATGTTATAAACACGTGTAGAGCAGTGCATGTACATAAAGCATGTTATAACCACGTGTAAAGCTGTGCATGTACATAAAGCACCATATAACCACGTGTAGAGCCGTGCATGAACATAAAGCACCATATAACCACGTGTAGAGCTGTACATGTACATAAAGCATGTTATAACCACGTGTAGAGCTGTGCATGTACATAAATCACCATATAACCACGTGTAGAGCTGTGCATGTACATAAAGCACCATATATCCACGTGTAGAGCTGTGCATGCACATAAATCACCATATAACCACGTGTAGAGCTGTGCATGCACATAAAGCACCATATATCCACGTGTAGAGCTGTGCATGCACATAAAGCACCATATAACCACGTGTAGAGCTGTGCATGTACATAAAGCATGTTATAACCACGTGTAGAGCTGTGCATGTACATAAAGCATGTTATAACCACGTGTAGAGCTGTGCATGTACTCAAAGCATGTTATAACCACGTGTAGAGCCGTGCATGTACATAAAGCATGTTATAACCACGTATAGAGCCGTGCATGTACATTAAGCATGCTATAACCATGTGTAGAGCTGTGCATGTACATAAAGCACCATATAACCACGCGTAGAGCTGTGCATGTACATAAAGCACCATATAACCACGTGTAGAGCTGTGCATGTACATTAAGCACCATTTAGATACGTACAGAGCCGTGCATGTATATTAAGCACCATATAACCACGTGTAGAGATTATCCAATTGGTTGTATAGACATGGCCTTTTTCTAAAGTGATGTAAAAATTCATGTACTAAAGTCTAATTATGGACGAGTTATGCATGTTTGAAAATACAACATTTTCGCAACAAATTTCTGGGTAATACGTTTCCTTTTTTTAATAGTATCGTTTTGCAAGGATATAACAAATACCAGCGAAGTATGTATGTGTGTACACCGAGCATCATGCCGCCAGCTGTGGATCCATGTATATCCAGCACAGTCATCCTCCTACAAGTACCATTGTCACCCAGCGTCATCAACGTCATGTCAGAGATACGCAAGTACATCAACAGCGAGCGATCTGATGACCGTAGCCCTCCATTGTCAATCTGCATAAATGATCGTTAACCATAATGAGATGTATGTTCTATTTAATTTGCCTGCAACATGTGCGTGGCCTTACAGTTATTGCTTCCTGGATCAGTATATAGATAATATAGTATATATAACTGTGCTTGTTCATCATTGGGTTTGTATGGGGACGGTGACTGGTTCTGTTTGCGTACAGGACGGTGACAGGGTCCAGGCGACACCAACATGTTTCACGAGGCCTCGCAAAGTGTAATGCCGCTAATCCGGAGACATCTACCGCCTGATGAAAAAAGGTTGGAATTATTATTACGATGTAGTGTATCATCCATACGGGTTATGTTCTGTCCGTGACAATATGACCACTGCTACCCGTCTCGGCTATACCTGGCGATGTGTGCTATACATATAGTCATGGAATAACAGTAGGGGATATTTTAGATTTGTATCAGGTATAATACTCTAGTAACAGTTATATGATTCTGTTGAACAAATAACAACTGGAAGGTAAGTGTGACAGTAGAATATAATGATGCTTACGATCTGGAAGGACGATAGGGTACACTGGCAGCCCTAAATGAAGCAAGTCTAGATTCCCTCGGGTTCTGAATCTCTGGTCTCCCCATGGCTCCTTTTCACGTTTTTTTTATTTGTTTGTTACTATCAAAATTATATATAATCAGAGACTAAGCGTTAGTCTATGTGTGGCCGAATGGCAATCGTTTCGCAGGTGTTGTCGTCCAGGGCGACTCAGGTGCAAAAACGGGCAACAGATGGTGTGTGTCCTGTGACGGTGATTACATCAGTTTCTACGTTGTTGTCACAACTGATGCCTGATCCAACATGACGATATGTGTAGGGTGGCACGGCACGTGTCCGTCCAGCATGTAGATGAGCTACATGTAGACCACATGGTATAACCTATCTCACGGTCTCCATTAGCTGCATGTAGACCACATGGTATCACCTATCACTCCGTCTCCATTATAATTAGCTACATGTAGACCACACGGTGTCACCTATCACTCGGTCTCCATTAGGTACATGTAGACCACATGGTGTCACCTATCACTCGGTCTCCATTAGGTACATGTAGACCACATGGTGTCACCTATCACTCGGTCTCCATTAGGTACATGTAGACCACATGGTGTCACCTATCACTCGGTCTCCATTAGGTACATGTAGACCACATGGTGTCACCTATCACTCGGTCTCCATTAGCTACATGTAGACCACATGGTGTCACCTATCACTCGGTCTCCATTAGCTACATGTAGACCTCATGGTGTCACCTATCACTCGGTCTCCATTAGCTACATGTAGACCACATGGTGTCACCTATCACTCGGGCTCCATTAGGTACATGTAGACCACATGGTGTCACCTATCACTCGGTCTCCATTAGGTACATGTAGACCACATGGTGTCACCTATCACTCGGTCTCCATTACCTGCATGTAGACCTCATGGTGTCACCTATCACTCGGTCTCCATTAGCTACATGTAGACCACATGGTGTCACCTATCACTCGGTCTCCATTAGCTGCATGTAGACCTCATAGTGTCACCTATCACTCGGTCTCCATTAGCTACATGTAGACATCATGGTGTCACCTATCACTCGGTCTCCATTAGCTACATGTAGAGCACATGGTGTCACCTATCACTCGGTCTCCATTAGCTACATGTAGACATCATGGTGTCACCAATGACACGGTCTCCATTAGGTGCATGTAGACCACATGGTGTCACCTATCACTCGGTCTCCATTAGGTACATGTAGACCACATGGTGTCACCTATCACTCGGTCTCCATTAGCTGCATGTAGACCACATGGTGTCACCTATCACTCGGTCTCCATTAGGTGCATGTAGACCTCATGGTGTCACCTATCACTCGGTCTCCATTAGCTGCATGTAGACCTCATGGCGTCACCTATCACTCGGTCTCCATTAGGTGCATGTAGATCTCATGGTGTCACCTATCACTCGGTCTCCATTAGCTACATGTAGACCTCATGGCGTCACCTATCACTCGGTCTCCATTAGCTGCATGTAGACCTCATGGTGTCACCTATCACTCGGTCTCCATTAGCTGCATGTAGATCTCATGGTGTCACCTATCACTCGGTCTCCATTAGCTGCATGTAGATCTCATGGTGTCACCTATCACTCGGTCTCCATTAGCTGCATGTAGACCTCATGGCGTCACCTATCACTCGGTCTCCATTAGCTGCATGTAGACCTCATGGTGTCACCTATCACTCGGTCTCCATTAGGTGCATGTAGATCTCATGGTGTCACCTATCACTCGGTCTCCATTAGCTACATGTAGACATCATGGTGTCACCTATCACTCGGTCTCCATTAGCTACATGTAGACCTCATGGTGTCACCTATCACTCGGTCTCCATTAGCTGCATGTAGACCACATGGTGTCACCAATCACACGGTCTCCATTAGCTACATGTAGACATCATGGTGTCACCTATCACTCGGTCTCCCTAGCTACATGTAGACCTCATGGTGTCACCTATCACTCGGTCTCCATTAGGTGCATGTAGACATCATGGTGTCACCTATCACTCGGTCTCCATTAGGTACATGTAGACCTCATGGCGTCACCTATCACTCGGTCTCCATTACCTGCATGTAGACATCATGGTGTCACCTATCACTCGGTCTCCATTAGGTACATGTAGACCTCATGGCGTCACCTATCACTCGGTCTCCATTACCTGCATGTAGACATCATGGTGTCACCTATCACTCGGTCTCCATTAGGTGCATGTAGACATCATGGTGTCACCTATCACTCCGTCTCCATTAGGTGCATGTAGACCACATGGTGTCACCTATCACTCCGTCTCCATTACCTGCATGTAGACCTCATGGCGTCACCTATCACTCGGTCTCCCTAGCTACATGTAGACATCATGGTGTCACCTATCACTCGGTCTCCATTACCTGCATCCAGATCTCAAGGTGCCACCTATCACTCCGTCTCAATTAGCTACATGTAGACATCATGATGTCACCTATCACTCGGTCTCCATAAGGTGCATGTAGACCACATCGTGTCATCTATCACACGGGCTCCATTAGGTGCATGTAGACTTCATCATCTGACCCCACTCGTCCTCCATTAGCTGCATGTAGACCACATGGTGTCACCAATCACACGGTCTCCATTAGCTGCATGTAGACATCATGGTGTCACCTATCACTCGGTCTCCATTAGCTACATGTAGACCACATGGTGTCACCTATCACTCCGTCTCCATTAGCTACATGTAGACCTCATGGTGTCACCTATCACTCGGTCTCCATTAGGTACATGTAGACCACATGGTGTCACCTATCACTCGGGCTCCATTAGGTACATGTAGACCACATGGTGTCACCTATCACTCGGTCTCCATTAGGTACATGTAGACCACATGGTGTCACCTATCACTCGGTCTCCATTACCTGCATGTAGACCACATGGTGTCACCTATCACTCGGTCTCCATTAGCTGCATGTAGACCTCATAGTGTCACCTATCACTCGGTCTCCATTAGCTACATGTAGACATCATGGTGTCACCTATCACTCGGTCTCCATTAGCTACATGTAGAGCACATGGTGTCACCTATCACTCGGTCTCCATTAGCTACATGTAGACATCATGGTGTCACCAATGACACGGTCTCCATTAGGTGCATGTAGACCACATGGTGTCACCTATCACTCGGTCTCCATTAGGTACATGTAGACCACATGGTGTCACCTATCACTCGGTCTCCATTAGCTGCATGTAGACCACATGGTGTCACCTATCACTCGGTCTCCATTAGGTGCATGTAGATCTCATGGTGTCACCTATCACTCGGTCTCCATTAGCTGCATGTAGACCTCATGGCGTCACCTATCACTCGGTCTCCATTAGGTGCATGTAGATCTCATGGTGTCACCTATCACTCGGTCTCCATTAGCTACATGTAGACCTCATGGCGTCACCTATCACTCGGTCTCCATTAGCTGCATGTAGACCTCATGGTGTCACTCTATCACTCGGTCTCCATTAGCTGCATGTAGATCTCATGGTGTCACCTATCACTCGGTCTCCATTAGCTGCATGTAGATCTCATGGTGTCACCTATCACTCGGTCTCCATTAGCTGCATGTAGACCTCATGGCGTCACCTATCACTCGGTCTCCATTAGCTGCATGTAGACCTCATGGTGTCACCTATCACTCGGTCTCCATTAGCTGCATGTAGATCTCATGGTGTCACCTATCACTCGGTCTCCATTAGCTACATGTAGACATCATGGTGTCACCTATCACTCGGTCTCCATTAGCTACATGTAGACCTCATGGTGTCACCTATCACTCGGTCTCCATTAGCTGCATGTAGACCACATGGTGTCACCAATCACACGGTCTCCATTAGCTGCATGTAGACATCATGGTGTCACCTATCACTCGGTCTCCCTAGCTACATGTAGACCTCATGGTGTCACCTATCACTCGGTCTCCATTAGGTGCATGTAGACATCATGGTGTCACCTATCACTCGGTCTCCATTAGGTACATGTAGACCTCATGGCGTCACCTATCACTCGGTCTCCATTACCTGCATGTAGACATCATGGTGTCACCTATCACTCGGTCTCCATTAGGTACATGTAGACCTCATGGCGTCACCTATCACTCGGTCTCCATTACCTGCATGTAGACATCATGGTGTCACCTATCACTCGGTCTCCATTAGGTGCATGTAGACATCATGGTGTCACCTATCACCCGTCTCCATTAGGTGCATGTAGACCACATGGTGTCACCCTATCACTCCGTCTCCATTACCTGCATGTAGACCTCATGGCGTCACCTATCACTCGGTCTCCCTAGCTACATGTAGACATCATGGTGTCACCTATCACTCGGTCTCCATTACCTGCATCCAGATCTCAAGGTGCCACCTATCACTCCGTCTCAATTAGCTACATGTAGACATCATGATGTCACCTATCACTCGGTCTCCATAAGGTGCATGTAGACCACATCGTGTCATCTATCACACGGGCTCCATTAGGTGCATGTAGACTTCATCATCTGACCCCACTCGTCCTCCATTAGCTGCATGTAGACCACATGGTGTCACCAATCACACGGTCTCCATTAGCTGCATGTAGACATCATGGTGTCACCTATCACTCGGTCTCCATTAGCTACATGTAGACATCATGGTGTCACCTATCACTCGGTCTCCATTAGCTACATGTAGACCTCATGGTGTCACCAATCA